ATTCAGAAATAAAAAGAACATAAAAACAGTATAAAAATAGATAGAAACAAAAAAAATATTGATTTTACATACCGAGCGTCAGGCTATCAAATTTAATACTATTAAAATTATGTTTCTGAATGATGCAAAACTAAATAATTTGCACTATTAAACACTTACCTGTAAGATAAAAATAGATCGGACTTTAGGCGAAACTTTTCACTTTTCTATTTGAAAACATTTTTGCAAAATTTTTATCATTTTTGAATTCTGTCGAATTATTTATTAAAATTTTTCTTGTTAATAAAGAAAGGTTTTCTAGACATTCAGACAAGGTAAAATCACACTCGCAGGTATCAAAATGGGGAAGAGCAAGCCAACTCAACTATATAGACGAAAGTTTGTACAGTAACATTAATGAATTACTGTAGCTGAGGAAAGCAGCCTTATGTTTTGCAGTTAGTTCATTTAACACTTGCCCAATATAAATAACAGCTAGCACAGAAATTTCTGATGAACAGATTAATTTGCCACGATCTAATTCTTTTATTAATTCATATGGACCTTCTATATTTTCAATATATTCTATAATTCCAACTGCAACCAAGTTATGCAAGCCACACATTTTTTTTTCAACTCGTTATGAACTATAAAACCTGATATATATATTAAAACAGGTAAAACATCATTTTAAACATATTCAGTTGAAATAGAATCATTAACATATCATCGTATAAAAAATATATCAACCGTATCACAGTTTCTCTCTTCTAATAGAATCAAAGATTTTAGCAGAACGTTCAAATTTTTTGCCAACACAATAACCAAAAGTCTTAAAACATAACTTTCTTTCATTTTCTAAAACTTGTACCAAACTTACGTAATAATTTGATCGAGATAATTGGCGATGTGCTCCAAATCTCGTTTCTAAATCTTTTGTTTGAAATTTTTCAAGTAATACATAAACCATTTTGCATTTTTGAAAAAGATAAGGAATTAAGTGACAGCTGCTTCATTTGCTGTAATTAACGATTGAAAAGTCTGCGGTGATAAACCATTGGTCGAATGAATAGATCGCTTCCAATTATTCAGCCAGAAAGTCATATCTTTCAAAAAATTTAATTGCATTACATTATCAACTCTAACTGGTTCTCCCTACATATAGTTTAAATGTCTGACTTCATATGGACTGAATACATTTATTATTTTCCACCAAGTTGCAAAGTTTGAAGAAAAAACTGCAAGTTCCTATAGTATCTGTGAATACGGTTGGGTAATGTTTAGATATATATTTAAGGGGTGCATTATTTTTTTCATTCAACAATTTAAGAACCAAATTAATATTTTGTTTTTGTATGCTATATGTCTATAGTACTTTACGGGGTAACAATTGGCCATATTTTGCAACAGACTTCTGTTCCATCTGAAATAGCATTTCGAAATTCTTGAGGTATGCTTTCTGAAAATTGGAAGGATTTTTTCTGTCGGTAAAAGTAAGTGTGCCATTATTTTTGCTACTCAAGCATTTATTTCGAATGCATTTTAAAACGTCCACCGAATCAAACAATATAAAAACCAGTCTGGAACCAAAAGGATATGGAATAACAGGCTGTAATAATTTATTTGGCGTTAGGAGCCCAAAAGCTTTAGATTTATTATATTATTGTATGCTATTAAACAAGTAATTTTTAAATCCAATTTGTTCAATTTCTTTACTTAGCAATATACTTTGCAATAAATCACTGGTTAAATTTGTAACCAGCACTGTGCATACTACATCCTTACATGAAGATAAAATTGATAAAAATCATTAAAACTTGCGCAGTTTTACCAGTTTTTGTAGCATTAGAATCAGTGACGCTATATACATGGCCAGCCTTAAAATTTAATTGTGGCTCAATGTAAATTTCATCCAATAGGAGGTTCTCTAAAATTTCTTATTTTCTTAAGTATTTGAATTTTGCTTTTAGATTTTAGATTTATCCCTGAAGAGAAGCATTCTACAATGAAAATTTCGAAAACAGCTTCTGTGTGTTTCATGGATGAGGCAGACAAATTGACCCACGTATGTAGACCGCGCAGTGTGAAGAAGACAGAATGCGTGTACTTTAATGATACAGCTAATACAATCCTCTCATTCCAATATCTTCTATTATTTTAGGTACTTGCAGAAGTTTCAGCTTTTCAGTAATAAATTTAATTTTCTTTTCTTCTTCATGATTAATTAATTTTAAAATATCACTAGCCTAGTTAAGTGCAGTTGGCTTCTCTACCTCTGGCTATTCTAAAAATTTATTGAATTAATACGTATAGTATTTTTCTGAAGCCTAGAATTTATAACTTTGCATTTATTAACAATTATTACATTTATATACATGTCAAATTTTAAATCAGCATATACTTCATTATGTCCTAATATCACAGGAATAATATCTACATTTATCATAGAAATATTTAATGTTCCAGAATTTTGCTGAATATGCTATTTACTTGGAATCTCTTTTTCATTTAATTTAAAATGCAATAGCATATCTAAAATTTCATTTATGGTTTGCTTTTCTTCATTTTCCTTTTGATCTAGTCAGCTCTGCCTTATATCTAAATCGAAATTATTTTGTTCAACATCCACCACGACGAGAGGGTTGACTATTCGAACTCAAATATTTTGGTAAATTAAGAAAACACTTGGGACAGCATTATCTTTCAGTTTTGGAAGTTTCCTAGGATACGGTTTAATATTCTATTTAATAATTTCATCCACAGGAATAATGTCACATTAACGGAAATGCTTGATATACAAATGGATTTTTTCTGTCCTAAAATCTCTGTAGATAGTTTTCTCAGCCAAGCTTTTCTCTTTACATCTCAGAAGTGAAATCAGTGTTATGTATTCTTTTTCATTGTCATAATTTGAGCGACACCCAGCAACACTACACTTGTTTGACATGATGAAGTGTCTGAAAAGAAAGAAAATAAAAAAATAAGAGGACATTAAAAAATAAAATTTAATTAAATAATAAGGTTAATTTAATAGAAAGGTAGCTACACTTAATTTCATTTATTTTAATCCATATGAAAGACAATTTTTGAAAATAAGAAAGTTTATCTATCTAAGCTTTTATTTTAACTGTCAATAATTATACTTAATTTTTAATCAAATTATTCAGTTAACTTGCACAGACATTAGGTTAATTCGAGGCAGGAGATGTGAAAAATTAGGAATGCCCTCGCCGGGATTTGAACCACGGACCTCTCGAATGCGAGCTGAGTGTGCTGACCAGTACACCACGAAGGCATCCTAAGAAGGCGGAAGAAGTAACGTTATAAACTAATTTTACTTAAATAGCGAAATAGCTTTGCTTCATTTATTTTGACATTTATGTGGCTCTGAGAAAGACACTTTAACAATTATGTGAGGGGAAGTTGTTTACTTAACTAACAATATATTTTACGGGAAAATAATAATTTAATTTCTTTTTTCTGCTTTCATATCGCCCTTGAAAAGGCCCTTTTGTAAAAATAAAACTGTTAGCTCATGAAAATTGCTAGATTATTTTACATAGGTACACTAAAAAGTTGTTAGTTGACAGTGCTTAATGAGCAAGTCTTAGTTAATATGTATCTCCCTCTATACGTATTTATGGTTTCAAGTTCAGAATCTCAATAGCTTAAATAATTGAAAGTGTCTTCAAATCAAATATAAAATGAAATAAAGAAAGATCTGCATGCGGTTCGGCGTGAACACATTTACTACTAATTAAATGGAATGCTATTCTCTCATCATAACTGTTTTATTTATTCCAATTAACTTAAATTAAAAATTTAAGTAAAATATGCGCAGTATCTGAAAATAAGAAACAAACTAAAAAAGAATAAATTACTAACCAAAATTATATTTAAAGACTGCTCAAATTTTCTTATTCGAACTGAACTCGGCTACGTCTAAAATAAACAGAATTTCAAATAAAAAACTTAATATAAACCTGTACGAAAAACTTTCTTAACTACAGAAACGTACACGTTGCGTTTAACGTTGTTCGAAATTCTAATATTAAACAAATTCAAAATAAAAATACGTTTAATATAAATCACAAAAAGAGCAGCACAATGCACGCACGTAATTCAAGATGGAAGATTTCCAGCCTTTCTTGTTCACGCGACTTTTGCGTGGCAGGGCCTTGTATATCACGTAGGCCTCGGAGTGATAGCGGCATTATCCATTACGGATGCACCAAGAGTAACCCATTTGCCTTCCCCCTGTGCCTCTGTTGAGGACACGTTGATCAAAGAATCCCCATTCTTTCCCATGATGCTGTCTAGCTCATAAATTGTGCAGAATTGAAAATCGATAAGTTTTTAATAAAAACTGAGATAGTAAATGGGAAATTTAATCAGAATAAATCTATTGACTATTTGCCTGCTTTAATTAAGCCTATTTATATTGCATATATTATATGTGATTGATTTGTAATTCCTAACTGTTTACAATGTAGGAGAGTTAAATTAGTAAGCCATTCTGAGAGCTATTAACCTGAATTTATTTAATTTTGGCTATAGTGTTTCTAAAGTTATGTCAATTGATTACTATCAAATCGTTCACGGTTTATCTGTTTTTCGTAGGTATAATTTTCATTAAGTATTTTTCAGGATAGCTCAGATGGATACTTATTGCTAACAATAATCATGAAAAACATTTCTCAGTCTTGTAATATGTGAAGACAACAAAGAAAAGAAAAGAAAAAAAAAAAAAAAAAAAAAAAACGTCTAACGAGATTTGTCCCTTTCTTTCATATCTAATTATCGCAGGCTGTCCCAAACTCCACAGCTAATTAAAATGGCTCCAGTCTGTAGGGAAAATAGCGAGTGCTCAGGACAAATAGCCTTCGAACATGATGTTTGGTATATCATCGTTATTAAAATTCAAGAAATTCCTAAATTTTAAATTTTCATTACCCTAGGGAATTTAATAAGCTTCTTTTTTTTTCTTAAAAATAATTGCCGTTTCTAATATTCTGTTCTAGGAATGAAAGTTTGTCGACGAATCAGTTTAAGCGCTCCTTTGAAAAGACTTGGATCTGTGCCATTCGCTACACTGTATCCTGGTTGCGAGCAGTACGCTGGTAATGAAGATGATTATTTTCGGTGCCAACTTAGATCAGTAGTTTTGACATTCAGCCATTACGTGGGTACCGCGAAGATGGGGGATCCAGAAGATCCCACCACAGTTGTAGATCCTCAATTGCGGTAAGTTATATCTTTATAGCATTTTAAGAACACGCAAATGCTGGATGTCTGATAATAAAATCAATAATAATTTATCACCTGTTGTAGACAAACGAACATGTGATAATAAAGTAATACTTTTTAATACTTTTCCTCAGTAAACGAAAAAAATAAAATTCATAACAAATCAAATTGTAGGAACGTCTTTTCCGAATTCATACACTTATAAATCGCAAAATATAGCTATAAGCAAAATATTCGACAAGAATGACCTGTCACTAAGAGAAACTCTTAAGCCATCCCTCCTATAGATTATCATCAGTAATTGATTCTTAAAATGATCCACTATATTTTCATCTATATTAACACAAAGCGTTGGCGTTCAAAAATACCTCGACGTGTTCAACAGATTTCATTTGTAGAGCGTATGTATGTTGCTTCGATTCAAGAAACTCATTCGCAAGATAGGATCGCTGAGCTGGAAAATTGTAGTGTTAGGAAACTCTGTAGTTTCAGGCTCTTAAAAAGGCTTACTTCAGAGTGTGGAACCTCGTCGGTGTACCTTTGGCTGATTTATAATATAAATCGATGCAGCCATATGTCATGTTTCTTCTTGAAACATGCAAACCATCACAGTAGAAACTGAGTTTCTCACGGACATTCCATGAGATGTTGCATGTTTGAGAATTACTCCAAATAATACGTTGGAAAACAATATTTAATCTTAGCCTTACCTTATCGGGGAATAGAACTCGTAAGCAGAACGTCTGTAAGCGCACTTACCAAATTAGCATTACCGGACTAGTAGTTACCCTCTGTTAGCGAACTTACCGAATAAGTATTATCTAACTAGAACTTACTCTCTGTTAGCGCACTTACCGTTATTTCCTACATGTTATAATATATCATATATACATACAAATAACAAGCCTAAAGCATTGAAAAGGAAATAACAATTTTGTAAAATTAAATATTAAAACATTAACATCAGCCAGCTCGATAATTCAACTTAAAATAATATTTAAAATAATGCAGCTGTGCATATCAGCATCTTCTTACTGTGCAGTCTATGCTAAAAAAGCTGCTTTTTCTGGCCCAGGAGTAAATGGAGAATAATATCTTTACAGTTTCCTATACAATCATAATTAAACTCAATGATGTGTTCTGTACTGATTAAAATTTTTATGGTTTCTTCTCGCAGAAAATGCTTGATATGTAAAAAATTCCCACCTATTCGCCTTCTAAGCAACATCCATCAGAGCACACACATTTTCTTCATAGCTCCAGCTTTGACAGAAAGTCGATGACTGATGTTGAAAGGGAAGCACTAATAGAATTTCCTTTTCATCATCAGTTATCGACTGTCCGTCGTATTGTTTTGAATAATTTGAAATGTTTAAAAGTGCTCCATAGAACCATCTTAACAAAAAAGAACACAGGAGTCGGTGACTGAAAAACCTGGAAAATAAAATTATTAGGTCATGAGAAAGAGGTGTTTCTAATCAAAGAAACCCGGTCATCTTTACCAAACGTTTCTTGCTCAGAATACGACATCGCACTAGAACACTATCTCAGAAAATGTCACTTGATATTTACCTTTTATAGAGAGTACTCTTACGCCACTCAACGTCAAATTCAATTAAAGGAAATTTCACAAATGTGGCGGGAGTTTTCCTCAACCGTTTTGAACAGAGGAGTATATGAATATAAACTAACACTTTTACTCAGCATATTTAAAAGTGTGAAAAGAGAAGCGAGTGCATTTTCTGGTTCTTTCAGCATGTTACCTGCCAATGCAATTCAACACTAGTCAATCCTTTTTTGAGATCATTGATATAGGATGAAATTATTTTAATCCTTAAGAAACAGAACGTTATCTATTTTTCTTGTGTAATGTTCAAAACAAATATTGTGATATAATGTGTTCATGTAAACATTTAAATAACTTTCTTTCATTTACTTTAATAAAAATGTATTCACATTTCTTCAATATGTTGATTTGTACTTTATTTGCATTTTACTTCTTACTATTAACTGATGTCATCTATTTCTAGAGTCAAATATATAAAGGGTCTGCGAGTCGTTGACGCCTCAGTTATGCCCACAATAACATCTGGCAATACCAATGTTCCAACAATGATGATAGCTGAAAAAGCCTCCGATATGATTAAAAGCACAATAAACTGCTATGCACATAATCCAGATAAATGGACCTGGACGCGGCATACCGACTTTTCCAACAGTGAGGAAGTTGATCCAACCATTTCGGAGAATCCTGTGAATGCGTTACCGCAGGATGCAAATCAAAAAGTGATTAGAGATCATCCGCCCGATACACTGGAAGAAGCCTGGGATAAAAATTCGCAAATTATTCTCCCGTGGAATAAGGAAATTACGGATAATAAAATGTTTCTTTAATTGCAATCAAAATTCCAAGTGAAGTTTGTTTCTTATTGGTAATTGCTCTCTAGATCATAATCAACTGAGGTCTATTCTGAAAGGTGCTTCACTGAACTCTTTTTTTTTTTTTTTTTTTTTTTTTTAGGAGAATGAAGATAACTATGCTCTTGATGGAAATGCGAAGACCAAAACTTTCTTGTCAACTACAAATCAGCCAATTCCATATAAAAGGGAATATATAAATAGAAGTCCTTTTAGAAAAAATCACAACAGACAGTAATTAAGAGAATCTGGAAATATGTTATGATTATTTTTAAGTTTAAAGCTGGAGGCATCCATGATCCTTTAGCAGTTGTGGCTCATATGCAAGAATGAATAACTAATTCTCCTGCAAATGCCAGATTCATTCTGTTATTACATTTCGTCTGGCTAAGGGACAAAATACAAGTGAATTTCATCTTACATTGTTTCTTGGCTATGGAAAAGGCTACACGGATGTCAGAGTTGGGCTTAAAAAGTATTGGAAGTTTTAAGATGCCCGCTCCGTGATGAGAAAGATTAATGAGGGAAGTGGGAACTGACAAAGCTGTTGAAACAAATCGCAAAGTGGTTTAGCGAGTCCATCTACATTATTCTCTTGTTAACTTTTGGTTTGTATCTTAATATTCCTCAAATTTTATAACTAGTTGACCAATAACAAGTTTCTAAAATAACAAGTTTCTAAAATGAAGGCATACAAAAACTGGTGACTTGTCATAGTTTTTATTTAGGAAAGCAAATGGATAGAGAAATAATAGCGTATCTATCTAACTTTTGTACGTATTAAAACATTTTCCCTCATTTTTATTTAATTAATTTTAATTTATTTAATTAATTAATAATTTCCTCATTTTTATTTTTACGGTACATAAATAAAAATAGACCGCGTATTCAAAGCAGTCTCTCAGATATATAGGAAAACAAAAATGCTGTAAGCAAAACTTACTATAAGCAAAAAGAAATATTTCAACCTTTAGAAATTATTCTATCTGAAGTGGAGAGCGATTAACAATAGATATAGCTATTTTGTGTAACATCAAGTGGAAATTACCAAAGACTATTTCTTCTCCTCTTCAGTGAGACTGCCGACTGCTCCCACTCATCCAGAATTAGCTGAAACGAATTAATGTATTTATTATTTTTCTTTGAAATGCTGATAAAAATTTGCGTGTGCTCCTTATTACTTATATAAATGATCTTAATCGGGTACAGACGAACATAAATGGATACATTTTGTGGGCTAATGCAGCCTAATTGTACCACATATAAGATTAATGAAGTAAGAAAATTCGAAATATAATGAAGAAGTGGACAGTCCTTGCCCCAGCAGCAAAACATCATCCTGAACAGTCAAAAGAACCTGAATCATTAGAAGAATAAAACATAGGCATGAATAATACCTGCTGTTGCAAACTAATAAGACTGAATCTTTATTGCTGAATAAAATAAAAGGGGAAGAAAATGTATGGAATTTTCCCCTTCCTTACTGTGTGCCTTCGTGATGTAACTGTTAGTACATCAGATTAACAATCGGAAGGTCGGGAGATCGAATTCCAGTACAGGCATAGTTGCTTTCTCATAATTCTTGCTTCACAAATTCCAAGTTGTACAGACATTAGGCATTTTTTGAAAGCAGGAGATGTGAAAAATGAGCAATGCCCTCACGGGGACTCGAACCACGGACCTCTCGAATACGCGCCGAGCGTGCTGACCACTACAGCACGAAGGCATACTAAGAAGGCGGAAAAAATACCTTATAAAATTTCTATAAATCTCGTTCGATAAAAAAAAGTAGTAGGCGATAATTTGTCACCACCTGAATTCGGCGACTGGGGTCTCCACTCTCAGTTTCTCTTTTAGAAGGAAGAGCATTTGTTTTTGAATGTCAAAAGGAAAATGTCACAGAAAAATGCCAAAATATGAAAAAAAGGGGTACGCAGAGAGAAACTTGATTATTTTTCATTCTTTTAACCTTCAGTTTCTGTTATCTGTCAGCTACAGAGACAGTCTGGTTGACAAAAATGAATCCATTAAAAATAAGTACAAAAACATTTATAATTTTAAATAGACCATATTGTACAAGCAAGTATGATTATTTTGTTCCCATATTTAGAATAAAAGGCTGAAAGTTTTAAAGAGTAGAATACTGTACTGTCAAAAAATAAATTTAAATTTAAAAAAAAAATGCAGTGAAAATGTTTTTCATTAATAATTACCATGCAATTTCGACTGCGTACAATATTCGATGACATTAAAATACATACAGTGTTCAAACACTTTATCTTTTTTAATACGGTGCTGTTATGTTATTTACGCAGTACCTAAAATAACTAAAAATTGCCTTGTTACAGTGGAATGTGTACTACATTTTTTTTAATTACGCTGTAGATAAGACTATAACATGACATTTTATTTTAAATTAAGATAAAATAAAGGCGCTGTCGAAGAGTAAGATTTTTTTTATGTTTATTGTGCTGTCGATGTAGATTGTTTTAGGTAAATAATAAATGTAGTTTTTCTATACACAACAGAAAGCTAAAACAAACTAGCCGTAATAAAATGACAAATTGTCAGTTCTAATCTTAATTTTTATATATATACTACTCGTGCTATACGAAAGTACTAAGAGATCTTAGTTGTCAAATTCATGTATCCTATGCACGTAAGAAGTTTCTGTTATTCACCTGTTCTTTTATCCATCACGATGACTCTCTCGAGACTGATGGAAATCAAAGGGCCATCATATTACACTTTGAACAAAATTTAAAAAGAAATATGTAGAAAGACATGCAATCTATAAGCTATTACAAAATTTCATCATAGCCTAATAAACCAAAATAAAAATTTCCTCATTTATTTTGGATGAAGATAACAGCGTACTTAAGTAATTGGAGTTGAACTTATGCAATCGGTGTATTCCCAATGGTTGAAACTGAAACGGCATTTATATATATGTTACGGTGAAACACCGAAATCTGGAGAATGTCGACTTTCACCGGTGAATGTCAACATTCACATAGTCGCTTGGTGTATGTCCGAAATATTCTCCAAATACTCTTATTCCGACTTACACCGGTAAATGTCGACATTCATCATGTACTAATGGTGAATGTTGAACATATAAGAATATTATATTTTCTTCTCCGAATTTCAGTTGCAAAAAAACGCACTTGAGATTTAAAATAAGAACTTAAGAATATAAGAACTTAAAACACACAGTACATTCAAAATGAAAAGGAAAATAGAAGTTAAAACTTACTTAATTATACAGTACGTTCTAAATGAGAAAATAAAATAATAGTAATAAAAAACTTATTTAATAGTAATAAAATACTTACTAAATTGTGTGATTCAAATCTTATGTATTGCAACAATTTAAACTATTATAACACTTTATGACCTCTCTTTTCGACCTACACCAGAGCATATCTGCGATTGTCGACATATACCGGTGAGGGTCCGAATGTAAAAGAATGTAATGCAATATTCGATCTTTCACCGACGTATTTGGTGAATGTTGACATTCTCCAATTTCGGTCTTTCACGGTAACATATACATTGCCCTCCAAAAATTAAGGAACAGGATGCTTTTTCAAAGCTCACCATTACAAAAATGTCAGTAACGTTTAAATTCACAATTCATATGCATGACAGTAACGAAGTTTAAGAAAATATATGCGAAAACAATACCTACCCCTTTTATTTTATAGAAATGAATATTTATATAGGAGTTTGAGAAAAATGCAAAAATTGTAATTTTTGTGCACGAGTGTTGATCTTCAGTTGTTATTACAGTTTCATGGACAATATCCATGAGAGTCTATCAATGTCAGGAGAAGTCATTTGCCCGATTCGTTGAGGTGGCGGGCGATCGGATGGAGGGAAATAGGGATGTCACAAGCTGATGCTGCTAGACGTCGCAATGTCTCTCGTAGTGTGGTCCACCGACAATGGAATCAGTCTGAATACGACGATTCTGTGTCTAGAAGACAAGTTCCAGGCAGACCTAGAGTTACAACATCTGCGGGAGACCGTTATTTAGCTCTTTCGGCCCTAAGGAAGAGTAGCATTACTGTGCCTCAGCTCATAGCAGATCATTTAGAGGCAACAGAAACAAGAATATCAGCTACTACAGTGCTCATATGCCTGCACAATGCAGGTCTGTATGCAAGACGACCAGTTATTTGTGTCCACTTGACCCGAGTACACAGAGGTGCCCGTTTATGTTGGGCAAGAGAACATATCTCCTGGTCCAGTCAACAATGGGCGTCTGTTCTCTTCACAGACGAGTCTAGGCTCATATTGGAGAGTGATTCGGGTCGTCAGGTGATCTGGAGGGAACAACGCACCAGATACAACCAATCTCACATTTTGGAAGGACACAGTTACAGAGATGGTGGAATAAGGATCTCTCTCGGTGGTCACACTTACCTGTGTGTGTTTCATACAGGAACTTTGACCGGTGTGAGATATCGAGACGAGATTCTTGATCAATATGTCCGCCCATATGCCGCTGCTATTGGTCCTGGATTTCTTCTGATGGACGATAATGCGCGACCGCACCGAACTCAGGTTACTGAAGAATATCTTGAGGGTCACGATATGGAGCAGATGGAACGGCCAGCTCAATCTCCAAACCTGAATCCGATAGAGCATTTTGAGACTACCTTGGAGACAAGTTGCTGCTTTAAGTCCTCCTCCAAAAGCCTAAAGAAGCACGAAACTGTGCGCCATGTAATGTTGTATATAACATAAATGTGTGTAATCTGAAATGCTAGAAATTATCACAGCGAATAATGAATGTCTAACGAAGCATGTACTTGTGTACCATGTAATATTTTATGTAATTTAACAGTATGTAACCTGCAACGCTTGAATCAGAAAATTTGTGTCTGCCGGTAGCTTTTTTTTCCATCGGGATGCCATTAATACGTTAGGCACCACAGCCTTAGGCCAGATGTCATCTCGACGACGAGAAGTAACGAGAAGGTAGTCAGATGAGCTTGAACATGGATTACTCCGTGCCCGGTCGTTCCTTCCCATTTTACTGACCGACAACTTAATTGACAGCATAGAACGTCACTGCCGCTAATGTATTGCAGCTAGGGGTGGACACATTCCTTCCATTTTTTTAATGTTACCACATCATTATCCTTCAAAAAAACGTGATATACTGTTTCTCCAAGGCTGGATTTCTCTGCCAAGAGTGCAATTTTTAGTTGCAATTCATGTTTTATGTCAAACTCTAGAAACATTCTGTGTCGCATTCATTAAAGAACTGTTTAGTGAACATGTCCTAAAAATTTCTTGTTTCTGTGTTGCTTCATTCTCAAATTAGACACAAAAAACATGCTGTTCCTTAACTTTTGGAGGGCAGTGTATATATATACTTTACATATGTAATGATTAGGTGGTACCGATGACTTGTTGATTCCCAGCTGAGCACATAAAATGGCAGAACCGTTAGATATCTTGAAGATTAGAAGATGTTGGCGTTGTAACAATTTGGAGAGAGACACGGCAAAGGATTCGAACATAATTTGCATTTCTTGTTAAAGAAATTCCGAAACGATAATCTGATTCACGGATCAGTTTACCACATTTGGAGTTCAGCACACACAAGACAATGAATAATTCTTTGTTTCAGAGCTAGCGGCAGCAGCAGGTAGGCAGTGCAAACTCACAGCGGGTAAAAAAAGAAAAGAGTTTGGCGGTAGTGAAAGAGGGTATGAGAGACTTTTGGACCTGTCCCTCCGGGGTGCTGGGTGTTCTTCTTCAACATTGGGGGAATGGAGGTGAGGAAAGTCGTACTGTCATCTATATGGTGCTCAAGGCTGTTGCCAATGACAGCTGCAATTCTGACCCCTTGCCATGACGAATTTCTTGACCTTGCTCTGATATCAAAAACTTGATCTGATGTTGCTGTCAATAGTTTGGGTTAAGCCACAAACAAAACAAATAGATATCTTCTTTTACGCTGACGATCTGGTCATCTGGACAGTGTTTCCCTAAAACACTGCAGAGCATAGTATAAACTCCATTCTAAATACAGAACTACTAATCATAGAAAATTGCACCCAAATAAACAACATGATTGCAAACCTTCATAAGACTTACGTTGAATCTTTCCCCCTGACCCACTAATCCTTCCTTCCATGACTTTTTTATGAAAGGCATTTAATCCCGATTACTGAAAATTTCAGGTAATTATGTGTAACATTCGATAGAAAACTTTCCTAGAGATCACATGCAGAGGACACAATGCGTCGAGCTTCGAGAGGACTCTCTCTTAAGGATTTTAAAAGGTTCCAAGTGCGTTTGCTCAAGAACTACTCTAAACACCACTTGTAATACCTATATTTTATTTATTTTGACATAGTGTTGTGAACTGTTAATCACTTTCTCTAAGCAAATTCTCAATAACAAACCATTTACTGTGATTATTCGGGAAAATGCTACACTTCTCTGGGAGAAAATTTTCGGAATCCGGGGATCGTTTGGGATCAGGCTTCTTTTGGGCCTGAGAGGAATACGAAGACACAAAGTGGTTTTATCTAGGAAGTTTATGATGTGATTTTAAGTTTGAGCCTAAATTTCGAGGTTGAACATTAATTACTACCACATAATCGCATTGAAAACAAGGGTTTCTCCATCCGCCTCAGACCTTGAACAAGAGTTGTTCAAAACCGAGACTAACGAATATGTGCTCAAAGCTTTCGCATACGAAACTATAAACTCTTGCTACCCGGAAGAAGAATGATTGCGAGTGTATACTAATCTTTCTAGAATGGGTGATTTCACTGACGTCAGTGCAGGTTTTCATTGCGAATTAATTTCTTTATACAACCCATTGGCCTATATGCAACTGCTCTTGAAGGTGAAATTGCTGACATCCACTGAGCCCTGCTACAACTACAGACTCGTCTGAGGCATTTTTGAAAAGATCGTTTTCTTATCAAATTCCAGAGCCATGCTTCAAGCTACTGGCTTACAAAATGATTCCCGCTCTTCAGCTGTTAATTTTTGTTTCGATTTTCTTAACTGGCTCTCAATTAATGACAAAGAGGTATTCTTTTCCCCAAAACTTGCAGATATAAATAGAAATAAATCTGTCGCATTGTTTCGTCTTATATCCTGCCCTGACTGCCTTCGTAAGCCCCTTCAACGCATGATTCTCTTCAACTCTGCAATGGATTCTTACC